TCATGTCAGTCTTATTCAACCCCTTCAAATAAAGTGTTACCATCTTTTTTTATTTATAAAAATAATCAAAACTGCTGCTGTTAATTAAACCAGATTGTGGTTCCAGTTAGTTTCTTTAAAAGCCTTTTTGTTGGAGCGGTTGGATGGAAACTTTATTCATTTCAGAGGAAGCTGAGGTGACAGGCTATTCTCAGCTGCAGCAGCTATTCCAGAGCGAGGCTGAGATTTATGGAGCGGGAGGACTTACGCTCTGCAGGGGGGCGAGGGAGCCGGGAGCGGCCAGCAGCAAAACAAAGGTCACGACCCGGTTCAGAGTCAGCCTCCTGCAGAGAGAGAGAGAGAGAGAGAGAGAGAGAGAGAGAGAGAGAGAGAGAGGAAGAGAGATAAATGTAAACTGTGATTTACATCTTGTTGCTTCTGGATTCAAACAGCTTCAAGTTGAAGCTGCGATAGCGGAGGACTTTGAAAACGTTATGACTCGACTGAAAAGAGAAGAAGTTCAGGAAGTTTAAACTCCTGGGACTGAAACCCTCCTGCTGGACTGAACTCCTGACCTCTGACCCAACCTTGACCCTGGCATACAAGAGGAAGCTACACTGAAAAAAGAGGAAAAAAAAGAAAATAATAATGCACACCAGAAAATTTTAAGGTGGAAAAAAAAGTGTATCCTGATCCAGATATGTTAAATAATTGTATTGTTTTTGTTGCGATGCTGTTTGGGTTTGTTTTGTCTTCTGATAAATACCTCCATGGTTTTTTTGTTTATTTTATTTTGTTGCTGCTATTCGTTCTCTTATCCGGTTATTTATTTTGTAGATCATCACATCCATGGTTGTTCTGTATTCACTAACCGGTGAATAAAAATTTAACATTTCATTAAAAAAAGAGAGAGAACAAAGCTCCAACTTTAGTTTAATTAATTTGTTACATTTGAACAAATTCTGTTTGTAAAACTTCATTTATTTATGTTGTTTCACTGACAACTTAATGTATTTACTTGAATAAATTTATTTTTAACAAAATATCCAAATTTTTAAAGTTGGATCACCTGGTTTTTTTCAGTGTACAAAGAAGCACCTGCATGAATTTACATGAATGTATTTCCTCCTAATTCCCAAAATTAAAACTGAACTGGAAAATAAACCTTTGGATTTGCCCTTTTTCTGCATTCACCAAATAGATTGCAATAAATTCATGCATTCATAAACACAAACCCACCAACTCCTGCAATCAGGAGCCATTTGCACCGGTTTTTACCTGCATTTGTAATTAATTGTCATCTTTTCAGGTGCAAACACTTTTCCAGAAGCAGGAAAGTTATTATAAATGGAGGGAAAACCGGAGCTGGTGAGGCATCACTACCAACTGGATCAGATCAGACAAAAGCTGCACTTCCTTACAAATGTACAAATCTTTGTCTGAGGTCCAAGAAACAGAATTTCACAACTGCAGTGTTTCCATTAAATAAGAATTTAAATTAAAATCACATGTGAATAAACTTCATCAAACAATAAATCATTCAAAATCATGTCAGTGTGAATGTAAACACGAGATGTGTTCATAATTCAGTTATGGCGCTATTGCTCATCATCTATCAGCCAATCAGAAGAGCAGTCGGCGTCTTATTCAGGCGTTACTCTTAGTTTGATGTAAAGTTAAAAACAGTGCAGATCTCTGCGACCTTCAGTCGCTTCAGTCCATCACTTCGGTGTCAGGAGGTAAAGTTGGTCATCTAATTATCGGCTTTGCTCTTACCGTGGAGACAGAGGCCACCTTGATTCTGTGTAAACACCAGACTGTTAGATAAATAACTCGTTTTTGTCTGGATGTGTTTTCATCTTCCTGCATCAATCCTGACTCAAATGATCCTACTGTTGCCCCAACACTCTGAGTCACAGCTGCCATCTCCGTGGAGCTCTGTGTGTGTGTGTGTGTGTGTGTGTGTGTGTTTGCTCTACAAACGGCCTCATCTCCTCTGTTTCTCCAGGACAGCGCTGCGAGGCAGCAGATTCTCCGTCTGACTCACGGAGGGGCGAGTGGCGTTTCTTGGAAGCTCCTCTCTCTCTGGTGACAGCTGCAGAGCGTCAACGTTTATGGGACTCCACTGAGACGCTGCTTTGCTTTTTGTTACCACTTATCTGGCAACCATGCCGGAACTGATTGCATTTAAAGGGGACCCATTGTGCAAAATTCCCTTTTTTGCAGGTTTTTGTTCTTCCATGTGGGTCTCACCTGCCCGGCGGGTTTTTGGGAGTAAATTAAAGATTTCTTTTTGGTGTCTGGAAAATAAGCCGTTTCAAAAACCTCCAGAATGTAACGTCACAAATTAGCAGGCGCTGTCCTTTGGTTGCTAGGTAACAGGCATTCTGCCTGTTACCTAGCAACCAAAGATGAGCTCCAGTTCCACTAAGAAACTCAGAAAGTCTAAGATTGATCTCAGAAAGTTTTCTAGGAAATATTTGGACATTTCTTTGTTTGAAAAGTTGAAAATTTTCAACTTCTGGATAATTTCTGAGTTTCAGAAGTCAAAAATGTTCAACATTTGAAATTTCCTTTGTTATTTTTAGAAAATTTCTGAAACTAAACTCAAAATTTCCGAGTTTTTTCTTGCAAATTTTAAACTTTTGGAGCTGTGAAATTCCAACATTTTTTCAAGAAATTTTCAGAGAATTAACTGAAAATTTTCAACCTTTGGAGCTCAGAAATTCACATTTTATTTAGACTTTTTTCCTAGAAATGTTCAACTTCCTAAACTCTGAAATTTTATTGTTTTTCTAGAAACTTTCTTTTTCCAAGCAATTTTTTGTCTTTCAGAGCTCAGAAGTTTTCTTGTTCTTTGAAGAATATTTCAGAGTTTTCTGGAGGAAACATTAGAGCAACCCGGTCATCCTTACTTCTTCTGCTGTCCTCGTTCCTCTCTCCATCCCACCTCTCTGCCGTCCATCTCTCTCAGCCTCTTTTGTCTCTTTTATCTCCCCCCAGAGCCGTAAACGCCCAGCTGACGCTGAGCCTTTGGAGTTGGCTTCTGGCTCGGTCCCAGGTCAGTAAGTTGCCCCGTCCAACTAAACGATGCACATCTCCCTCACACTCGGCCGAGCAAAGCGCCGCGCTGCCGTCCCGGCCGTACATGGGGGAGGTCTTATCAGGGGAACAAAGAGGGTCACACTGACTGAAAGAGGCTAACAGAACATAAATAAGGACTTAAAAGGCCTTTTTCTTTCTCGCACACGTTTATTTGATCTTCAGTATCTCAGGCTTTTGCGTGACCTTTTGGTGACTTTTACGAGTTTTCAGAAAAGGAACAATACACAAACAAAGTCTATTTTTTCTGTATGTCATCCATTAAAAACAGAAATAAAACCTATGAGAACTTGCTGGTTGTTATTGTAATAATAGACGTTACTGATTAGCTGAAGTGATGAAGGAGTCTAAATACAGAAAAATCTGATTTTTTCTCTTTTCATTCACTCGTTCTTTGGCCTGTAAATGCATCAGCAGGCAGCCTGTCCTCTGATCCTGGTTTTGTTTAAAGTTTGGTGGAAATCAGATAAAGAGGGAACATCTGCTTTGGTGCATTAATGGAGATAATCCTGTAATCCCTTCAGTCAGACCTCCACCAGCAAACCTGCACTGGATTTCTCCTTTTATGGGCAAAATCTGCTGCATTTGATTTTAAATTATAACAAAGTTTAAATAAATGCATGTCTAAGGTGAGATCAGTTTGTGTCAGGAAAAGCCTTTTGGACTCTATGACTTTATATTAAGATAAATCCTTGATATAATGTATAATGCTCTAAAATTCCTAAAATTGAACCTTTCTAAACTTTAACATCTGCAAATCTTCACGTAGTTGGTAAATGACTGATATCAAAATATGTATTAAACATATGTTAGTCTGTTTGTAGGGAATTTGTGTGTCTATAAGATCATAAAACATTTTTCTGCTTTAACTTTAAACTCCAAAACAACATTAGCAAAAACTTTAGCGCTCCGTCTGGCAAACTGGGAGAACTGGGAGAACTGGGAGAACTGGGAGAACTGGGAGACTGAGGACGCTCCTGACTGGGAGCGTCCTCAGTCAGGACAACGCGTTCGCTTGTTGCAGATTTATATCTATTTAATATTGCAGTAATCTCTAACAGTTGCATATTTCACACTGTATTTCAATCTAGGAAGCTGTTATTTTCATTCTAGTGTCTATTCTGTAGTAACTTGCTACAGTTTGAACTGACAGAAAAAATTTATGCAACATAAAAACAGCCAAACTAACATTTTAAAGGTTTTTATAACCACAGACTGTGAAAGCAGTATTTCTTTTCAAGTTCCAATCTGTGAAAAATAAATTTAGTCTAAACCAAGAAAACCATCAAGAGGAGATCCTGGACTCAGATTAGTCCAGCGAGGAAGAGGAGGAGGTCCGGCACCCCACCTGGAGATTTAAGAGCTCTTTGTGGCAGCTTATTGTGTCTGGCAGCTTTCACATAGGAAAACAAGTATCTCAGTGATTTTCCCATGATGTCACATCGTTGTGTTTATGGTGTGGCGCTTTAATACATTATTTGGCAAAGAACCCCCCTAAACCTAAAACAGGAAAGGTTTAGTTTAAATTTAAGTTTATGTCTTTTTTCACTGCATGTGTGAATATCTGGTGAATTTAATGAAGTCGCCGTCAACCGTGATTGTTTTTAATTTAAAAAAAAGAAAGAGAAGAGCAGAAACCACATCATAATCCTAATTTCTTTTTTTATCCCGACTTTTCTTCAGAGTTTTACAACCTCGGAGCTCAAACCGCATCCCAGAACAGCCGTAAAAATAATGGAGGCGTACCTAACGAGGGGTCCTCACTTCAGCCTCAGCACAGACAGTTCCCCACCATAACTTAATGAAATGCACATATTTAAGTGATTCATCAGTTTCTGCTCATGTTTGGGCTCCGACTGCTCGGCCGCCCCGGCTGAGGGGCCCGTTCAGGGGTCAGCAGGGGTCAGCCTGCCTCGTCTTGCTCTCATTAAGACTATAGCTGCACATTAGTGAGTAACTCCAGGGCAGAGGGAGCGAAATGTCTTTAATCAACACGAGACGCTCTGTTTGTTTTGACTGACGCCTGTTTGAAACTAAACTCTGTCTGCAAAGCAGACGAGGAAGTTAGGAAAGATTTAAAAATGTAATCTATCTATCTATCTATCTATCTATCTATCTATCTATCTATCTATCTATCTATCTATCTATCTATCTATCTATCTATCTATCTATCTATCTATCTGTCTATCTGTCTGTCTGTCTGTCTATCTGTCTATCTGTCTGTCTGTCTGTCTGTCTGTCT